GGCGCTCGGCCTCGGCCGCGGCCTCGGCCGGCAGCGGCGGGACGGACGGACAGACGGACGGACGAGCGGACACGGCCCGACTGCCGACGAGTTCAAGTGCGGGCCGGGCCGGGCTGGGCCGGGGCGGAGCCGGCATCGCGCCGCCTCCCGCTCCGCTCCGCTCCGCTCCCCTCCCCGGACGGGGCGGCCCGCGGGCTGGGGCTCCCCGCACGCACCCTGCTGCGGCCAGGAGGCAGCTGGGCGTGCGAGCAGGGGGGACCTTGCCCTTCCTCGCCCGTGGGAGGAGCGGGCACAAGAGTCCCCCCACAAAGGGCTGGGAAAGCCAGCAAGAGAGGCAAGGCCGGGGCTCAGCCCCAAAGGCGAAGGGCGTGAATGCAGGGGTCCCGCCGTCCCGACAGCTCCGTGGGGCGGGGGTGACTCCAGGCCCACGTGCGCACTCGTGCCCTGGGGAAAGTGGAAGCTGCGCTACGTTTATTTCCTCCTTTCTCACTGACTCCCCCGGGGGGAGAGCGGGCACACGCACGGGCAGCTATCGCGGAGCAGCCGATGCACGACTCGGCCCCCGCGCGCTTTGGCTGTGCGACGAGCACGGCCGGACCCGAAGTGCCGCAGAGCCACGGGGCAGCGTGCCGAGCCTCGCCGGGAAGCGGATCTGGAGCCAGCGGTGGAAAATTGAGAGCGTGCAAAGCTCCAAGTCTCCCGGGCGGACAGCGCGAGCGCGCCGCGGGGACGCCAGGCCCCGGCCTGCTAATCCCATCCGTTCCCTTCCCATTGGTGGCAGGGCCTGGAGCCGGGCGCTGAGGTTTGGTTAGGAACGGAAGGAAATGGAATAATAACAGAGAAGCCGCCCAAACACGAGCTGCCGAGATGGGTTATTTAAATGCTTCGCACCCGGCTCACAAAGGATGCCCGGGGTCACTGCGGGAAGCCAGGCGGCCTGGAAACGCTCTCAGGATGTCCTGGGGTTTCAGGAGGGGCGCAGCCCGGCTGGCTCGACGCAAGCCAAAGCCTCGGCCCTGCCGTCGCCGGGACCTGGGTCCGGAGCTGTCGGGCTTGGCGCTGCGTTTGCCCAGGGGTGGCAGGTGTGGAAGAAAGCTGGGCTGCAGGGATGCCCTTATATAAGTGGAAGTGAGGGAGAAGACAGGTGATTGGCTAGACAAGCTGTCCGTCACCCCCAAAACCGGGTGACTGACTTCCTGCAGAGGATTGTGGGAAGGCAAGGCCCCTATAAAACCCTGGCTCCCCGCCAGCCAGAGAGTGGATGTTGGCGGAGCTGGGAGGGTGGGTCTCCTGGGAGAGCCTGCGGGTGGGTACTGCTGAGACCCAACTGCCTTCCCCACCCCACAGCCGCGGCAGGCGGGCTGGAGTCCCCAGTGGGTGGGGTGACGCATGCAGGCGTATCCAGGAGGACTTTGGACCTCCCGTGGGCTGGTGTCTGCTGCTATCCTTGGGGACACCTGCCCCTGGAGCCTGCCTGCTGCCTCTTGGCAGGGCACAGATGCCCCGGATAGGTGTTGCCTTGCCCGTGGGTGTTTTTCTACCTCCCCCCTTGCTCCCTGCCAAGTTGGCTTTCCTCCCCTCTGCCTTTTGGACCCCGAGTGCTCAGGGCACAAGGTCCCTAGGTGCCATGGGGTGTGGTGTGAAGCAAGTGTCGTCCACTGCCAGGGAGAGGCAGGGATGCTTTGCTTTCCAAGGGCGGCTCCTTGGTGGCCCAGGGCTCTGCAAGACGGGGCAAACCAGGCTCCGGCAGCCAGGGGAAGGGACAGCAAAGAGAATGGTTTTCCCCAGAGATGCCACCCCCTCGCGGGGTCAGATGGGGAGAAGGGGCAGGGAGAGCTTCGGGCCCCCATGCCAGATCCCTTAGCTCTGTGCCTGGGAGCGAGCAGACAGCACTCCTCGCCTCTCACCCCTGCAGGAGGTTGAAGCAAACCCCCGGGGTTTCAAACAGCTCCGGCTTGGAGGGGCTCTGCTTGTGGTGTCGTGACAGCCCCACCCCAGTGGCATCCCTGCGCCCATGCTGCGCTTGCTGGCGACTCTCCACCCCAGAGGTGGCTGCAACAGAGCCGTGCGGCGCGTCTGCTGGGCACGGAGCCTTGTCCGCTTTGCGGGGCAGATGCGCCAAGAGACGGCGTGCTATGTGCCCCATGAGCTGACCGGCCTCGTCGCCTGTTTTGGTACCAGAGGCCTCACTAGCAAAGCTCTTCTGTAACCCACGGGGCAACACGCGCCTGCTAGATTCCCCCCTGACGGCCCCGCTCTGTGCAGAGAAGAGCCCAGCTCCCACCCCCGGCCTGTTTGCTCAGCCCCTGCCGCTGTACAAACAGAGCCTGGCAGCTGCTCTTCCCAGCCAGGAGCTGCTTTACCCAGAGCCGGGGGGTGCAAGGGCACTGGGAGAGGAAGCCCAGTCCCTGGCTAACATGGTGCTTGCAGGTTGCAACCCCGGGCAGTGGGTGGCAATGGGAGCACAACGCAGCAGAGAGCCATACAAGGCCGTGCGGCTGCCCGCCAATGCGAGGCTCCCGGGGCCGGGCTGGAAGGCGGCCCAGCGTGCTCGCTAGGATGGTCTGTGGGCAGCACAGACCGCGAGCCTGGGATCGGCAGCTGGCTGCGCGTGGAAGCCTGGCCCCCCTCTGCCTGCCGCAGGCTCAGTCTGGCTTCTGGGGGGCGAGGGAGCCGCTCCACCTGGAGGGAGTGGGGCAGAGGGGTGTTTCCAGCATGCTCGTGGCAAGATCAGGGTCCCGAGACATTTGCAAGAGCAAGGCAGCCTAAAGACAGAGCAGAGCCACCCCTGCGTGATGGGCGGCAGGCAAGCATGCAAAGCCAGTGGGCACCAGAGCAACCCCTCCAGCTGGCATGTGATGCCTGGGTGGGCAGCACTTAAGAGGCCATATTAGAGTGGGTTCGGACACTACTCCAGACTCTGTTGCAGGCTGTGCTCTGGCACACACCTTGTGTGTCGTCCCCCCCAACCCCATGTCCAGGGGAGCTGTGCCCACTGCATGCCCAGTAGCCTTTGAGCCAGGAGCTCCCCTGGCATCCTAGGCCGGTGAGGCCGTGGCAGGTCAAGGGATAGGCTTTCCTGCCAGCACTGCTGCATCCGCACAGGTACTGACAATCCCCGCTCCCCAGCTGAGACTGCAAAACCAGGGACCGGATCCTTACACAAGGGTCACGGCACTGGTCGGCTTCCCATGTCCCCAGCAGGGCACCAGCCATGCCCAGACCACAGCGAGCCCACCTGCCACTCCCTGGCTTTGCACTCCTGATTTCCACCCGCTCCTTGGGCTCCCCAAAAGAGAGAGAAACCCCAGACAAACCACCCCTGCGTGCTGGTGACCCGGCCAAAATGGCCCTGCCCAAGGAACAACCAGATCTACAAGCAAAGGCAGCGGAGAGGGATGGGAAATCTCATCTCAGCTTTGCCACCTAGTAGGAAAGGTTGGAGGCACGGGGCCCTCTGCCTTGGCTAGAGAAGGGGTTGGCCTGGGGACCCATAGCAGGGGGAAGTGGGGGGCTTTTGGCGTTGTAAGGGCCTGGGAGGGTCTGAGCTCGGGGGTCCATAGTAGGCACAGGGAGCAACGTGGGCTCCTCTTAGGGCCTGGAGCTGAGAGCGGGGATGAGGATGCACGAGGCTCTGCTGCTCTCTGCCGTCGAAACCGCCGAGCTGCAGCTGCTGGATGCCTGCTGCGGGGTGAGGGGAGGAATCAACCCCCCACTGGCTTGCCAGCATGGGAAGGCAGGACCTCAGGGCAGGGCTGGATGCAGACCCCCAGCCCCGTCCTGGTTAACAGCAGGGCATGTGCATCCGTGGAGGATGGGCAGGGTCGAGGCAGGGCACTCGGGCTCCCCTTGCCATGCCCAGCACGTGGGGCTGCTCTAAGGGGAACCCGTCTCCCCTTCATTTGCCATCCCCTGGATAGGGGTTTCCAGGAGCTGCGGGGCTGAAGCCCCGTGTGCAGCCCCCAGGCAGACACATTAGTGGGGGTGGGGCGATTAATTAGAGTCCTTGCAGAACTAATTAGCCTTCCCAGAGGGGCCCGAAGGGGGTGGCACACACTTGCCCGCAGCTGGTTTCCTTGCCGTGCCATTTCCTTGCCCCCCACCCTGGCCTTGTCTCTCTGGGCTGCGAGTGCTTTGCCAGGTCCAACCCGAAGCCCGCTGTCCCCAGGAGCAGAGCCCACAGCCCCGCAGCCCTCAGGGGCATCGCCTGCCCCTTGTGAGCCTGGCAGCACCCCTGCCTCAGTTTCCCCCCTGCTTTTCCAGCTGATCCCCACAGCCATGCACCCCCCACACCCTACTTTCCAAGCTGGGGGAGCCCAGCTAACCCACGGGAAATTCCCACCTGCTTTCCAGCAAGTCCAAACCACAAGGAAACTCTCTTGGCCTTTGTGGACTCAGGAAGGGAAGACAACCAGGCTAACCTGGCTGCAGGGAATCTCTGCTCCTCTCCCCAGGCTACCTGGGCACTGCCACCCTGCCAGCCCAAGCCCTCTCTCAGGTCTCCCATTAACCCCGTCCTGACTCACATGGCATTGGCTTGCCCCCAACAGGCCATTAACACCCAGATTCACCTCATCTGGACTCAGCCACCTGGCTGAAAGGCCCTTGGAGGCTTCTGCTCCGGGAGTGCCAGGTGCTGTACATCCCTGACACAGCGCCAGCTGCGAGAGAGCTCAGGCAGGCAGATGTCCGCAAACAAAGGAAGGAAGCACACGGGGTGGTTGGGGGGAAGCAGCCATCCCAGAACAGGTTTCGAGGCAGGACCCGAAAGTCGCAGCCGCCTGGACAGCAGGAAAGCCTCAGGCCGGAGGGGTTTTCCCGAGCTTTAATGGTGGGCTGTGGCACCAAGCAGGGAGCACGTGGCCAGGCCGGGGCAGGATGGAAACACGGGCCACGCCATGGTGTGAAAACCAGAGGGAGGCGGGCACTGCTCTTCCCAGCTGGCACGAGTCCTGCTGCTCGAGGGGAAGGCCAGGAGGACCCAAAATGAGCCCCGCTGCCCCGGCGTCTTAGGGGGTCAGAGAGCCCTGGCTCCCCACAGCGGGGACCCCCTTTGGCTGGACGTCTCCTCCCTCCATCACCAGGGTGAGCAGGAGCGGGAATTCTCCCGGGGACACCGAGTCCCGGTCCTCAGCGGCTGGGCTTGGTGCCCCGGGGCTTGCAGCAGGCTCAGGGTGAGGCCCAGCGCTGCCATGGGGGGTAGGCAGGGGCTGGGGGGCATCTCGGTCCCTATATGCCCAGAAGACTACCGTCGAATACTCCACCCTGCTCCGGTAGGCGGCCGTGTCCTGGGCCCCGGTGTCCGGGGTGAGTCCAGGGGGCTCGGAGGGGAGGAGAATGGCCTGGCACTTATCCCCTGTGCTGGAGACCTCCAGTGCCCACATGCCCTCCAGGAGAGACGTGGGCACGAGCTGCTCCCGCTGCTGGCTGGAGACGATCCTGGAGATGGAGTCGAGGGCGACATGGGAGCTCCCCGCTCCCTGCTTCTCATGCTGCTCCTCCCGGGACCCCACCAGGTCCTGCAGAGACAGGGTGGTGACCGGCCACGTGCCAGCCACCCGCCGGGCACCGGAGCCGAGGGGAGGGAGCAGAGAGCGGGCACTGGCATGTAGCCAGCTGAATGGGGTGCATCCCCCGCACCTGCCGGCTGTTTGGGGGTGGGGCACAGACCCCCACAGCTCTCAGGCCCTTGGGGATGGGTCCTCCATCTGCAGCTTAAGAGACCCGTTGCTCTGGGGCAGTGCCAATGTGCTCACCCGGGGAGCACTGTGCCAGGGGGCGGATGGGTGTGGGGGGCCAGTGTGAATGGGGCAGAGGCAGGGAGCCCCCAGCCTGGCTGCACTGGGCAGGGCTGTGGGCCGATGCCGGCGGGGCAGGGGAAGCCTTGGTGGCATCAGCGAGTGGGAGCAACAGCGTCTGGCAGACAATGCAGATGCACGTCACCCTCCAAGCCATGGGGGATCGAGCAACGGGCTTCAGCCAAGCACATGCGTGTGTGCACGTGCACCAGAGAGACGTGCACAGCAGGAGGAGCCCCCCCGGACCCAGCCGAGCGGGGCAAGAGCACACTCACCAGCCACGTTCTCTGTGGCATCCAGCTGGCCAGGTGGCTTTTAGATGGGTCGGGGACCTGCGGCCAGAGGTAGCCCTGGATGCTGCAGAGACCGACAGCGAGTGCGCATAGGGAGGAAAACCGCGTCTTACCCCAGACAGCATGGACTCGGGGCTCCTGAGACCCAGGCCCCAGGGACTGTGTGGGCCGCCCACCCCCACGGCCGGGACCCTTTCCGTCTAATGGCCTCACACTAGGCTGGCTTCATACCTGCCTCTCCTCCCCCCCCATCCAGGACCGCAGCACCTGGGAGGTCCTCCGAGTACCCACCCAGCCCAACCCGCCGCAAGTCCAGAGAGGCTCAGAAAGGAGTTGGGGGCAAGGACAGGCTCCTAGGACATACAGCTGGTGCTTGAGGAGGCAGGCCAGGGATGCCGCGATGAGCAGAACCAGCCCCACGCCCAGGGAGGACAGCGACAGCTCCACCTCCCCCTCATCTGCGGAGAGAGCAGAGATCAGCGCAAGGCCCCTCAGATGCGGCCCGACGGGGACCCGTGCTCAGCTAGAACAGCTCGAGGCTCCCATAGAGGCCCATACGGACCAGTTCCTGCCTCCGCAATGTCCCAGCGGCTGGGGACAATGCAGGGGCTAAAGGAAGGAGGCAGGGAAGCAGGGGCTGGAAGGAGTGGCGGGGCTCACGCCGACGGGCTGGTAGGGCACCGTGGCGGGTGGCTGCGGGGTGGCCAGGACGGGTCCCCGACAGGCCTCACCAAAGCTCCGGGTGCGGATGGACAGGATGGGACCCTGGGTGCTGCCCCCATCGGTGGTGGCGGTGACGCTGACCCGCACCACGGTGTCGGGCGCCAGCCCCGTGAGCAGGTAGCGATGGATGGAGCCGTTCACCACCACCGCTGCAAACAGGACATGCCCCAGTCAGTGCTGCGGGCCGGACCCTGCCTGTGCCACCCCCCAGCTTGGCCCTGGCCTCACCACGGGCGCCCGCACCCTGCTCCGCATAGGACACGGTGTAGTTGCGGATGTAGCCGCCCCGCTCCTCCAGCGAGGGCTCCTGCCACTGCACCTCCACCTGGGACTTCCAGACCCGCGCGGGCTGCAGTGCCGGTGCCCGGAGCGGAGCTGGAACCACAGAGCGGGGAAGAGTCAGCGGCCACAGCTGCCCCGGGAACTCCCCCTGCCCTGCAGCCGGGCGCTCCGGTGCTCCCGGTGTGGGCAGGCTAGTTAGCACGTGGGCAGGCTAATTAGCAAAGGGCCGTGCTAACTCAGCCTCGCCCCTTGCACTCGGCACCTACCCGTCTGCTTGGAGTACGCGTACACGGAGCCCACGGCCCGGACGGCTCCGTCATTCAGGGCATAGAGGGTCAGGCTGTAGAGGTGCCCTGGCTCGGTCGCCTCTACAAGGGGGCAGAAAGCGGCGGGGGAAAGAGGGGGAAAGCCCCCATCCTCCATCCTCAGCAAGCCCATGCCCCCTGGGTTTAAGCCACCAAGGCACATTTCATCCTGGAAACCTCCACCCTCCTGCATCAGGGCCCCTCTGCACTGCCAGGGGTCGGGAAGGAACCCCCCCCCCGCGGTGCCTTGGGTTCCAGTTCTGCCCCTGCCAGCAGGTGACATGTGGGGCAACCCCCCGCGAGCTCCCCCCTAAGCCTCGCTCCAAGGTACTCACCCGCCAGCACCGTGCTATTGATGCCCCCGTGCTCAGCGCGCCAGTCCAGGTCCTGCCCCCCCAGCTCCGCCGCCCGCCCCCACTCCAGGATGTAGGCTGAGACGGGGAAGCCGGGGGGATCCCACTGCAGGAGGAGGCTGCGGTCGCCTGCCGGGGAGACCAGGACGGGCAGCGGCAGCAATGGCTCTGGAAGGAGCACGGAGTGAGGCAAATGCCAAATGGTGGTCTCCAAACCCCTCACACCCACCCCGAGGCCTCTCTACCCGCCTGCTTCGGGGGGCGTCTGGGCTCACCTGCCTCGGCCCCCGCAGCCGGGACCCGCAGCAGGGTCGTGGGCGACTCGCCGGCAGCGTTGTGGGCGCTGAGCAGGAAGACGTGCTCCTCGGCTGCGGGCAGCTGCAGGGCACAGCGCAGGGCGCTGGTGATGCAGGCGGGCACGGCCGGGCGCCCCCGGCGCTGCCACAGCAGGCGGTAGCCCAGGATCCTGCCATTGGCTTCCCCGGGCGGCAGGGGCTGCAGTGGGGGAAGGCGATGCTGGTCTGGGGAGACATGCGGGGCCACGAGCACAGCACGGTGGGAGCGGATTCACTCCGGATTAATGCTTCAGAAAGCCCCTGTGTGGACGAGCCCTGGTGTCCCTGGCCCGGAGCACCTGCCCCTGGGCTATGTTGAAGTCTGTGGGACCAAGTCGTCCTCTCCGCCTGGCCCCCAGCCCCAATCCTGAAGCTGAAGCACCCCAATTAGTGCCAGCAGAGGCCAGGGGGCAGGTGTCGGCGCTGGGTGGTGCAAACTCGCCCCTCCAAGCCCTCCTTCCAGGGCATCTCCCAGCCCCCGCGAGTAGGGCACTGCCACCCGGCTCCTACCTTCCACATGAGGACGACATCCCTGTGCTGACCCGTGCCAGGTGCGCCAGTTCTCCTCCACAGCGCCGGCCCGCGCGATGGGGCTGGCGGCCGGCGGGGAGGAGAGAAATGCAGCGGGTCAGAGGGCAGGGGGGGCGAGCGGCTCAGGGCTATGCTGGGGGCTCAGGATCGGGGCCCCCTTGGGCACCGCTCTCGGGTGGGAGGGTGGCAGGGAGAGCTCTGGTCACCCATGGGCGAGCGGCCCCGATCCTGTAGTGGTGTCCCTGGTGGGGGCCAGCTTGCACCCTCCTCATCTAGACTCGGGCTGGGACTTAGGTGGGGAAACAGCCCATTTGGAGCCCCCACTGCTGCCACGTGGCATGGGGCTGTGGCATACCCGTGGGCAGGGTGGTGACGGATCTCTCCAGGCTCCAGTCGCTCCAGGACGGGCCCCCCGCGCTCCAGGGGAAGGCGCCGGCTCGGTAGCGGGCGCGCACCTGCACGGCGTAGGTGGTGAAGGGGGAGGCTTCGCCGACGGCCCGCGGGCTCCCCGCTGCCTCCACCTGCCGGAGAGCAGGGCACTGAGGGCCCTCTTCCCTTGCAACTGCCTGTGGTGCCTGGGAGCCGAGCCGGGCTCTTTCCAGCCACCCCGGGGACCAGGAAGAGCCAGCGGCGCCTGGCTGGGCCAGCTGGGTGGAGCGGCACAAGGCGCAGGGCTAAAGGCTGGATCCATCCCTCATGCGCCCAGCTCTGGGGTGGGGCAGGAGGCTGAGCCCTGCCCCAGCCGAGCTGCTCGAAGGGACGACCCCTTCCCCCCGCTGCTCACCTGCACCCAGGCCCCTTCCTCGGCCGCCCGGTACCGGATCTCATACTGTGCGTCCGCCGCGTCCGCCAGCTCGTACTTGGGCAGCCGCCACGCCACGTGGAAGCAGTCGCTCCGGTTGGCCGTGGCGCTGACCTCGGGCCGGCTTAGCTTCACTGGCAGGGGAAGGGCATGGGGGTCAGCGGCAGCTCTACACACCCCAGCCTGGGCTGAGGGCACCTGGGCAGGCTTCGGACCTGGATCTTCTGGCTGATGAGAGCCGACCACTTGCTCAGCTGGCCCAGGTGGCTTGTGGACAGACTGGGGAGAGCTCCGGCCCCGCCAGCCGTTCCAGCCCCTGGGTCCAGGCCAGGCTAAGCCCAGGTCTTACCGATGCTCATGCCATGCACGCACACGGCCGGGGCGCTGGCCTGGCCCAGCGGGTTCTCAGCCCTCAGCTGCACCTTGAAGGAGGCGAAGAGGTTGCTCACGGGGACGGTGCAGGAGCGGGTCTCCCGGCCGGACACGCACGTCCCGGTGTCGGCGAACTTCCACCGGCAGGGCCCCACTTCCCTGCACGGCCCAGAGCTCCGGTCAGCAACCTCCAGTGCCAGACGCAGGGGTGCCGGGGGGTTACACGTGTCCCATTTCTACTGCACAGGGTGCAAAACCCCCAGCTCTCAGCTTGTCGGGCTATCGGGGCACAGGCATTGTATCCCTCCTGGTGCCCGCAGCCCGGCAGGGCACTCACTCGGTGATGCTGAGGGTGTACGTGGTGGGCAGGTGGGTCTCCGGCCCGGGGTCCCAGAAACAGGTGATGTTCCTTGCCCAGAAGCTGACGCAGCGCTGGACCCGCAGGCTGCCGGGAGGGGCTGCGAGCAAGACAGCGAGGGTCTCGGAGAAGCTGGGCAGCCCCCACCCCTCTACCCTGCACCCAGTGATGGATGCTCAGGGCTCCCCCATCCAGACCAGGCCATACTCACCCCCAGCCTGGAAGGCTGCCGTGCCCAGCAGGTGCAGACCCCCCCGGCGGGGCAGGTAGCAGCCCAGCTCACCCCGGGGCTGCTCTGCAGTGAGCACGGCCGTGGCGGTGAGGGTGCCGTTGCCCCGCGGGTCTCCCGGCTGCAGCATGAGCTGCCGGGTCTCCCCATTCAGCCTCCAGATGAGGTCTCCGGGGCGGGGGGAGCTGCCTCCCAGGCAGCCAGGCACCAGGGAGCAAGAGGCGGTCAGCTGGGAGCCGAGCGGTGCCAGCAGTGGGCGCAGGGTGAGGGTGCCGCAGCTGGGTTGCAGGGTGCCGTGGGCTCCTGGGGACAGAGGTCAGGGCATCCAAGGGGAGGGGGGCAGCTTGGGGACTGCATCGGTCTCAGCCCCTCCCTGCTTCTCAGATGCTGAGATGCAGGAGGGATGGAGCTTTGCCAAGGGTGGGAGCAGCGGGTGCCCGGGCATATCTCCCCCACCCAGCTCCCCCACTACCCCAGGCAGCCTGGACCCCCGTTCTACCTCCCTGGGTGCCGCCTGGCTCCTGTACACAAGCACCGCTCGCCTGCCATCTCCGGCCAGCTGCAGCACGGTTCATCTCCTCCCAAAAAAACCCTATGCCCAGCCAGGCCCTCAGCCTCGGGGTGGGGGTTGCCCTGGCTGAGGGCAAACCCCCATGCAGCTCCCCCTGCCCCGAGTGCCAGAGGCCGAACGTCCTACCGTGTCTCCCAGTGATGCATGCAACAGAGGAGGCCGCGGGGGCAGGGGATGAGGCGTGCCAGGGAACAGCTGTGTTGCACAAGAGGATTGAACCCGCAGGATGGGGGAGCAGGCACGGCCTCCCCAGATGTGACGCCCCGGAGGACACCTGCCTAGCAGATGTGCGGGGTGGGGAGGGGAGGGGACCAGGTCCAGGCCCTGCCAGCTCCTCCCTACGCGTGCCTCCGTCCCCCCCAGGGCTCCCCTTCCCTCCCGGCGCAGCAGCCCCGAGGCTGCTCTGAGTTACGCCCTGCTCCAGCCTCCCCCTCTACCCCCGGCTCCTCACCTGACCCCACGATGCCCCAGGAGAGCAGCCACGACAGCACCAGGCCCTGCCACATGCTCACGCTCGTGCCACGACGGCCCTGGAGAAGAAAAGATGGAGAGATCTGGGGACTGGATCTCGCAGCTCCGGTGTGCCAGCCAAAAGGTGGCTCTTGGGGAAGGGTAGATCCCTTGATGCCCCCCGGACCGGCAGGGAGGGGACATGATGGCTTTCCACTCACCCCTACACCCCTCTGATAGGGGACAACCCACCCCGACCCCCTGTAACACCCGTCCCCATGCACCGCTCGCCTGGCTCCGGCGCCGTGGAAGCCGAGCGTGAGATCCACGGCACTGCCCGCCCCGCGCCGCCTGTGGCTGGCAGCTCGCCTTGGAGGCATGCAGATGGGGAAGGGGGCTCTGGACTCCAAGAGGGGCTTGGAGACCCTCTGGGGCAGCGGGGAGACCCCAGCCCAGCCTGGCCACGACTCCTCCTGGAGAGGGAGGGGGCAAACCCCAGGTCATGACACAACCCCCACACCCCTGCACGTAGGCGTGATGAGCAGGAAAGGATGCAGCTCCTCTCCAAGGGTGGAAATGAGCCAGGCCCAGATCAGGGCCAGATGCTGGGCCTGCCCCACATGAGTCCCATTTTACAGATGAGGGGACTGAGCTCAGCAAAGGGCTCCGAATCCTTACACAGAGGCCGGGGCCACAGATCCACCTCCCCCCTGGACACGCGAGGGCTGCCGCACCTGGCCCCGGGGTCAGCACCGTGGGACCAAAGGGGATGGGGAGCATCGCAACCAGCTCCTGCCCCCGCTCTGGACCCCCAGAGCTGCTGCTGACGGAGCCGCCTGCCCTTTAGTCTCATGTTCTTTATCAATGGGCCCCTTCAGGGGAATAAAAGGATGCCAAAAGCAAGAACAAGCTGCACAGGAAGCCCAGGGAGCCCAGCCTGGCTGTTCGGCAAAGCCAGTCCCAGGCTCGCTGCACATGTTACACGTCTGCTAACCATCAGGGAGGGTTACTGCCTGTCCCCAGCTGGAGATTAACTCTTCGGCGGAGACTATAAAGCAGCGCAGGCGGCTGAATGTCTCTTCAGGGAGCGGCAGCTTGGCGCTAAATAGGCAATCACCGCCAGCAACGATGCTTCTCGCTGCCAGCGCCGACAGGGCGAGACGTTCGCAGCTTGGCGGAGGGGATCAGGGGGAGACCGCTCTGTGCGAACGGCGCCCCCAGACCCATTTGGAGCGGGGCTGAGCTCTGGGCTTCCCCTTCGAGATCAGAAGCTGCGGGCGCTCGTGGGATGAGCTGGTGCCTGGCAGATGCCCCCACACCCGGGCATTGGACCCATGCACCCTGCAGGGGTGCTGGAGTGGGATGCTGGATGGGCATGTGCTGCTGGGGTGGCAGCTCACGCCAAGCCCAGGGGATGCCGTGGGTAAGCACCGGGCATCTGCCCAGCCAGGAGCAGGGTGAGATCTGTGCACCCCTGAGTAGCCAGCAGCCTCCTGCTGCCCTTGTCTTTGCGTGCCACGGCTGCCCGTGAACCCCTGACTCCCTCTGGGCTGGGAGGAGCAATACATTAGGGATCATGTAGTGGGGGCAGGTCAGGCCAGGGCTGTGGGGATCTGCAGAGATCCACCCGACACGCTCAGCAGATCACTACCACCGTGATGGTGCAGGCTGGGCACGACTCAGTGGTGCCTATCGGGGGGCGGGCAGGTCTGGATGCTCTCTAAGCGAAGTGGGGAGGCAAGTGGGGCAGGCTGGCTCGACTTCCAGTGATCTTCTGGTTCCTCTTTGTCCAGGGCTCCCCAGGCACCTGCCACGTACAGCACCGAGCACGGCCCTGCCAGGCTCCAGCAACCGAGGGACCACGTGCAAGGGGGGCTGGGGAGGTTCACAGTGGGTCAGATTGGATCCGAAGCCTGACATGTCAGACGCTTTCCTCTCCCAGCGCACATGGGATGCACATGCGTGTGAACACGCACACACTTCCACATCACACGCGACTCAAGGCTCCCCTCCCGCCCCAAACCTTCCCGCAGCACGAACGCGTTGTGCCCATGCCTCTCTCGGGCTCTGCCAGGCTGTCTTCCAGCGCCGCCATCCCCTTCGGCTGCTCCAGCGCTGCCCCAGCCCCTCGAGCCCGCTGAAAGGCGCTTTTAACCCGGATCCATCGCTTATTAAACCGCTTCGAAAAGGAGCTGGTCTAGGAAGCACAACGCACGCGTCCCGTACCCGCTACCAGCCGTGTGCCACTCCACACATCGCAAATACATGCGTGCCTCACACATGCCGGCTCTTGTGCTCTGTTACACACATGCACGCCCTTGGCTGCTGCATGCAGCCTTTCCAAAGTCTCCAGCGCTCGAGCCTGTCCAAGGCAGCACCTACCTTTCCTCCTGTCCTTACGTCTGGGTCGGGGGGGAAGGTGGTAGCCCCAGGGCTGGTCCCCAGCAGCCGGCTGCCAGCTCGGCTCTAGAAGTGCCCAGGCACCCTGTTCACAGGTGGGCAGGGAGGGGGCTTTGCAGCCTGAAGCAGGGGTGGAGCAGGGGAGGGGAAGCCCTGCCATGGCCAATTGCTATGAAGGGGAGGAGGAGACAGCCAGGGCTCAGGGTGGCATCTCACTGTCAGGGATGGGGAAGGGATCTGATGTTTCCAGGCCCGGAGGCACCCGACAAACAGTGCCTCCAAGCACCCACCTGTCCTGCTCAGGCTCAGGTCTGGGCCTGTTGATACCTCCCCTAAGGAAGGGCCCAGGGGAGAGGAGCCGGAGGATCTCCAGCCATGCAGGGCCATCAAGGATCGTGATAGGGCACTACTAAGGCAGTGGGGACTTCGATTTCCAGCTCTGGGAGGAGGGATGGACTAGTGGTTAGAAAAGGGTGGGCTGCCAGGACTCCGGGGTCCTGTTATCTCTGCCACTGACTCACCATGAAGCCTTAGGCAAGTCCCTCCACCCTTCCCTAGCGCTGATTCACCTCCAGTTGAAGCAGGGACTACTCCCACGCCTCTCCCGGAGTCTGCGGGCCGAAGGCCACGTGAGCAGAAGCTGCTAGGGGAACCTCAGCGATTGAAATTGGGGCAGGGAGGGAGAGAATCGCAGCTGGCTGCTCCCCGGCCCCAAGCGTCCGTCTAGCGAGCAGTTTCACGGCCAGGCCGGTCTTGCTGCTTGGATTGAAGGACCCAGAAGTTGCACAACTGGCTCCCCACTGCTCGGCTTGACTTTCACAGGTAAGCGTGGGAAGCAGAAGCCAGCTGGAGCGATGCTGGCATAGATGGACACGGCGTCAGCCTGCACGTGCTCGCAGTGGCGGGACCAGCGGTGTGTAAAGACCCACAGGCCTCTTCCTGGCATCTGGGGAGGGCCCGGCCGACGCAGCTCCTCTCGCGCTCCAAGACCTGCGGGCAACGAGAGCTGAGCCGCATCGCATCACGCTGCCTTCTGCACGGCCCAGCTATTAGCCTTGCGATCGTGGCTGTAACCCAGTCGCGCCAGCGCTCCCATGGTGGGCACAGGTCTCCTGGCACAAAGGGGCCTCATTGGCACGATACGCTGGTATTTCTATACTGGCCGTCACGCTGGGTCTGAAGGAGGCAGCTGCTTGCTGCCTCGCTGGTCACAGGCCCGTGAAACCCAGCAGGCGATACGGGGCTGGTGGTGGACTCTCCATCCTTGGAGGGTTTTAAGACAGGAGTAGACCAAGCCTTGGCTGGGGTGATGTAGTTGGGCCTGGTCCTGCTTGGAGCCGGGGGCTGGAGTAGATGTGACCCCTTGAGGTCCCGTCAACCCTCCTTTTCTATGACTATGACGTGAGCTCCTCCACGATGGGCACCAGGGAGGGCTCTGCTGTACCAGCTGCGGGCAGGAGCCGCGTGCCCTGCTCATGGGAGCGAAGGCGTCGCGCCTGCTTGGAGCCCTTCCCCTTGCCGCCGCAGGAAACACGAGCCAGGCCCCTGCTCTGCTTTGAAATCAGGTTTTTAATTAAATAAATAACGGCGAGGGGTATTCAAGGCAGTATCACTTCACAGTGTGGGGCCTCCCGGGGGGCGCGGCTGGAGACAAAATGTGC